AATGTTGTCAGACCAGAGTATGCCACACTAGAGAGGTTCATCCTATAGTCATGGAGAGTTTGATCCCATTCGCTGAAATTCAATGGCATTATTTGGGTGCAGGCCCAAAGTTTGCTACCTGTTTCAAGGTTGTACTCCACTTTGTAGCCTTACATAAATGTCCTATTTCCAAAAGTAAAAATCACAGCATATGCATTGAAACACCTGTCAGACCAGAGTATGCCACACTAGAGAGGTTCATCCTATAGTCATGGAGAGTTTGATCCCATTCGCTGAAATTCAATGGCATTATTTGGGTGCAGGCCCAAAGTTTGCTACCTGTTTCAAGGTTGTACTCCACTTTGTAGCCTTACATAAATGTCCTATTTCCAAAAGTAAAAATCACAGCATATGCATTGAAACACCTGATTTCCTTAAGTATGGGGAGTACTTATTGTTCCTTGTGTAATGCATATTGAGTTAGTCCTAGAAGAAATTTGAAACTTGCCTACACTCAAACAAATAATTAGCTAAAACAGTGGTTCTCAACTTTTCCAGATTTCCATGTCCTTTTCAGGAGTCTGATGTGTCATGCATACCCCAAGTTTCACCTAACTTTAAAAATTACTTATTTACAAAATCAGACTAAAATACAATAGTGTCACAGCACACTGTTACTGAAAAATTGCTTATTTTCCTTTTTACCATACCATTCTAAAATAAATCAAATAGAATATAAATACTGAACTTACATTTCAGGACACTGTATAGAGAGCAGCATAAAAGTCATTCATTGTCTGTATGACATTTTAGTTTGTACTGACATTGCTAATGCTTTTTATATTGCCTGTTATAAAAATAGGCAAATATTTAGATGAGCTGACTTACCCCCTGGAAGACCACTGCTCACCCCCTGGGGTACACATACCCATGGTTGAGAACCACTGAGCTAAAAACCAAAAGTAACATGAATAAGATCCCATTGTTTAACCTGAAATAAATATCTGGATTATAAAGGGTACATCTACGCAGCAGAGCTAAAGTCAAATTAAGCTACACAACTTCAGCTATGTCATTTGCGTAGCTTAAGTCAAAATAGCTTAACTCAGCTTTTGGCACTACCTACACAGCAGGAAGTTGAAGAAAGAACACTTTTCCTTTGACTTCCCTTACTCCTCATGAAATCAGAGTTACCATGAGTCAGTAAGAAGTCCTCCAGCTTGACATTTTTTCGAAATAAAGGCTTGTAGTTAGATGCACCCTATGTTATTTCGGAATAACGTCAGTTATTCTGAAACAATGCTGCTGTGGAGATGTGCCCTCAGGGATTATGCACAAAAATGAATGCAGGATTTGTTTATTTAATTATTTGAGTTTACATTACTAATATTTTCTAGCCAAACTTTTTTCCCTAGAAGCAGGCATCCTAACCAGCTGAGAAGCAAAATTTTTAGACAACCTTTGAAAATGGTAGTCAACATGTGGACAGTTACATAAGGTTTGAAATTGAAATCTGAAAATGCATGACTTTTAAATCCTATACTTTTTTGGCCAATTACACTTGCATGATGAATGGAACTTCTGATATAGAAACAGCAGCACCATTTAATATCTATTCTATTTAAATTTCACTTGCTCATCCATTTTTTTAGTAGTTTTGTTTCTGGTATTGTGGGGTTTTTTTCCTTTTTAGCAGCACATTTTAAGAGTTTCTACTCTTGATTCAAATTTATCTTTGAAACAGGCAGAAGAGGTTAATAAAGTACAGAGTGGAATGCAAAATGCTTCATAATATCTGGACTTGTGACTAATAGTTACTATTCACAGGCAAGATGCAGGTCCTTAACTTCTCTCTACTAGATCTGAATGATTTTTTTGGGTTTCTCCCCCACACTCTAGAAAATTGTAGCAACTGAACCAAATTATCTGTAACCACCTTCAGAGTCATGATTAGGGAACATGTGAGAGAATTGTTTCCATTTAAATTTGTCTTAAAAAAGATTTCTTTCAAAGAAGAGGAAAAAGTTGAGAATGGTTTTAATTCCTTTCTTAAAAATTAACAGAACAACCTGAGGGAACGTTTCCTGTCAAAAAGACATCAGGTACAATATCTGAACAATACAGGAAAATTCACCAAGCTAAGTACAGTAAACTTCCAATAATAGGGCACCTTTAGGACCGAAGGGGTGCCGGATTATCAGATTTGCCGGACTATCGGAAGGGGGGGCTATGAGGGAGGATGCCACCCCCGAACCTTCATAGCCCCCCCTTCTGATAGTCTGGCTCTGCCCCAGGCGTCCCCAAGAGCAGCTGGGGTGCTGCCGGGTTGGGCCCACAGCGCCGAGGAGTGGCGTACTGGACCAA